CAAACATTAGCATAAGAAGCCTCGTTCAGTATTAGCATAAGGAAAACTGTGTTTTACACATCTTTTGAATCATTGCTCACAATTCTGTCCCCATTGACGCATACATCTTATTATTTTCTTACAAACCCATGCCTATGTGCTCATTAGGGTTGACTTGCAGACTCCTGTTTGGTACTCTCTCAAATCTTTGTCGTCATTACCTCTTCCATAATGCATCAGAGAGCTTGGGTTATTTATTGAACCAATTAAGTGATAATGATAAAAATTACATTTGATGGGTTGTGGGAGGTAGAGGATTTTCCTTGAAATGTGGACTGTCAATTCAAACAATACTCATCTATTACAATTGGAACTTAGAGATTGATAGATTCAAATAAAATTGCCTTTGTTTGATTCCTTTTCTTATCTTAGATGGGAAACTCATATTTCAGAGTCAGGTCAAAGCCACTGGCTAGGCTTTCTCTGAAAAAACCTTCCACGTATAGAAATGTGGGTACATTTGATTACCTCTGAGAGTTTTTTGTCTCCTCCGGCCTATCTCGAGACCTATCTTTTTTCCCCTCTCTCTGAATAAACAGCCCATATCTCTGGCAACAATTGACGATTGATTGTCCCTTCTTTCTCAAACGGCTTTGCCTTACTGCTCTGCCCCTTGTGACGGGATTCAATCCACCCCCATAGCCCATAACAGCTCATTCACATTTAGCTGACGGACTATGGGAACATTGGATGTTGTGGTAAAACCACAAGATGACCGGCAACTTTAATAAAATTACGGAGCTCATTGAGGAGCAATTACATCGAAACTTCAGCTGTGGGGAAATCATTTCTCCACTTATTGTTATTGAAAGACAACATCAGGGTTGCCCTTTTCATGCATTCATTAAATATATTCTTTGTTTTATGCTGAGCAATTTGGGTAAAATCCAAGAGAGATATTGACTCTGCTTTGAGTCACAGCATCTATTAAAAATGCATAGTTTGTTTTCTGCTGACTCTCTTCAGGAAATAACGAAAATGTAAATGACTTCATAAATAGAAATGCTTTACCCAGGCCAGTGCTTTGCCGAGCAAATAAACTCTAAAACATTAATAACCCGAGCCTGTTTTTCAGGTTTCAGGCTCGAAAATGACATTCCCAGAACAAATGAACATAGCTTCCCTTCTAAAAGGGTTAAATTAATAATCTTTTTTCTCAAAGTAATGATAAACCTGTCAGTTGGATGTAGACAAGTCAGATCCAATATAGATGTTTTTTATTTTAAAGAAAATTCAGATTGAACATGGTAAAATACTGTAAATTATAGTGTCCGTCCAAAAAATATGTTGTACTTATAGTGAAAACTAACCTTGGAGGATGGGTTAGTAGACTAAAAGCTTTAGGAATCCAAAGTACAACATATAATAAGTACCCTGTATCAAGATTGATGCAAAACAAGTGATATTTGACCTTTTTAGACAGATTTAACAAAAAGAAAACCTCTTCTGGGGCCATTTGGGTGGATTTTTCATATCTCTGTCTCCCCTTACTGGATTTTGACATGTGACATCTCTTTCTAACCGTCAGAGCCAATGGAATCGAGGGGAACTACCACGTAGTCCTTATTTGGTCATGTGTGTGTGTTAGACTGCCGCATAGCCTAGACCGGAAGCAGCAGCCACTCTGGTGGCTACCATTAGCAGCTAACTTTGCTCTGCGATATTATATAAA